CGCCACCAGTTAACGTTCGCGTGAATCCACATCGAGGATATAATAATAATAATAATAATAATAATAATAATAATATCACCATCATCATCATCATCATCATCATTAGCATGTTCTCATCTCCTCTTTCTTATATCTATTTATCTTTGTTTTTCTTCTTCTTTCTTCTTTGTCAGCGTTATTATTAAGTTCGGTCTCACAACGTGTCATCGGTATTTTTAATATGCTTATCCGGAAATATTTTTCTTACCGCTTGTTTCGATCTCCTGGGACAGGAAATTTCGTTCCACTCCGCCTCCATGTTTCTTTTCGTTTTTTCATCGCCTTTTTTGTTTTTTACTAAACCCGCTTTTGTTCCTTCGCAGTAATTAAAGGCCAAACAATGTATCGTGAAATGCAGTCGGTACTTAAATCGCAAAAATAAAACATAAAGTATAAGGTAATCAGTACGTTCGTCTCTGCCACAAGTCAAGATTGTATGGAAGCACAATAAGAACAAAAAATTCTCTAAAAGCGAAATTTCCATGACTTGGTCTTATTTATATATTTTTTTATTTTTTTTTTTTTTTTATTCATCTACCGATTACATATTATTTGTTTTTCTCTTTTTACTTTGCTGTTATCATTCTGAATATAAAAAGAATTCAGCAACGTGTTTCGTTGGGAACAAGGGCAGCAAACACACCGCAGGCTCTACTTCAGAATCAATCTTTAGTGGCATGTACGATCACACTTAGCGGTGTAATGGATAGCTGCCCAGAATTAGAAAGTAACGGTCTGGGTTCGAATTCCAATCGACGTCATTTCCATCACCTTTTTTTTTTGTAAGTTCTATCCTTTAAAAGGCCCGGGGGTCACTCAAAATAGAGAGTTACAGATCAAGAGGAAGATCTTATGTGGATATGTGGGGAAGATAACGGTTCACCCTAGACTTGAACAGGATAAAATTGTAGTTATCGAGGAAGCATCCTCCTGGGAGTCAGTTCCATAAAGCAAGTTGAGGCTTCCAGAGTAAGAGACACAGTTTATACGGATATATCTGGAAGATAACAATTAACCCTACACTTGAACAAGGTGTGAGAGAATGACATTAAATTCATAAATAAAATAATATCTACACACCCACATTTGAACTATCAGCTGAGAGAAACCCACCCAGATGAAGACCCCCACCCCCAACCCAAATTAAAACAATCTCAAGCTCAAACTAGAACGACACGCTCAGGAAGACTGGTAAATCATACTTATTATAAAACCCAGGTTGTGTGTGTGTGTGTGTGTGTGTGTGTGTGTGTGTGTGTGTGTGTGTGTGTGTGTGTGTGTGTGTTTTTACGAAATTTAAAACACGATATATGGGGGGATCATATATAGTTTCCTACATTTTTCATATATGGGATCGGATTTCAACAAAATTTCAATAAAACTTCACTTTTTTTGGCAGGTAGTGTTTCTTATTGTGTTGCACACTTTTTCTTTATTTTTACATTCAGAATGCTCTAAAAATTCCATTTACAAGACAATTGTTTATAATAAAATTCTATTCAATCGGTAGACTCATAACGATTGAAAACAATGTTTTTGTTTGAGTTTGAGTTTGACCAATTCGGAAAAAAAAAAAATCAAAAAAAAAAAAAAAACTAATTCAGACATGCTTGTCTGTCAACCTTAAACAATAATCTTTGTCAATTTTATTTTTCAGTCTTTGTGATGGTCGATACTTGATCTATCTCTTACTGTTACATCCCCGGGCAACGCCAGGCTCTACTGCTAGTATTCTATAAAAAGAAGGAATTTACAGTAGGAAGAAACAAATATTTGTGCATATAATTTTTTATTTTACTGTATTTCCAACTAATGAATAAACATACTTTTCATATAATTAGCTGTACATATATGGATAGGTTTTCTTAGTTTTTAAACAAATTTCTTCCGTTAAGGATAATTTTGGGGGGAATAACCTATTTTAACTAAGATTTACACATTATTATGCTTTCTTTTTTAACTAGTATTTAACATGTAAATATTTTGATTAATGTATTTTTAAGTAATTTTAGTTAAATGTCATTTCACTTAGTTTTTAAACGGAATTTATTAGAGTATCAATCAATATCCCCAATTTATCATACCGTATTTTAGGAGTTTTTTTTTTGTTTTGTTTTTTGTAAATAGGTTAACTCATTTTAATTACTCTATTCTAAATATTTTGTTAAGTATAGTTAAGAGAAAAAAGAAGTATAAAAAGGAAAGTTATAAAAAGAGAAAGACCAAACAAATAAGATATAATTTTATTCTGGTTGCGGGCCGAATACTGATCATATTCAGCCGGGTCACCCATCGAAGAAGTCTGTTGTTTATTTAGACCCGAAACTTCTAGTGACAAGGGAGCAACAAACACTGACGATGCACCTAGATTCGACACTTAAAGGTCTAATTTCAACAATCCCCGTGTAGGGTTTATGTGTGTGGTGTCGTCGATTGTGTAGTTATTGTTTTACACTTGTATGGGATATATGCTTTTAGATTAAACGTGGATTTCGGACTTTTGTGGGCGCTTCTTGTAAAGAGCTAGCTACCTGAGCCGCATCATTTGCAAACAAGATGTCGATAAGCATTTTCGCCATAGTAAGAATCTTTGTCTTAAATCGTTGATGATTAAAAAATCCCACAAGTTTTTCCAAATCAAACAAAACTCCATTAAACTGAAAGACCAAACAAATAAGATATAAAGAATTTAAATGAGAGGAAGTCGTAAGACGAGCCAATATAATAAATCGTTTTATTTTATTAATATATATATATATATATATATATATATATATAATAAATAAAAATACCAATTAGGTTCCATGTAATAAATTAACCACAGCTCTCTGGATTTTATCCTCCTTAATTTACCCATACGGATTCCAAGAATAAACTAAATAACTATATATATATATATATATATATATATATATATATATATATATATATATATATATATATGCGGCCAAGACAGGCTGTTTTTTTGGAAGAAGAAAAAAAACTAATATATATATATATATATATATATATATATATATATATATATATATATATTGGTTTGTTTTCTTTCTTCTTCCAAAAAAACAGCCTGTCTTGGCCGCATGTAGGAAGATCAGTACAACCAAGCATACCCGTTCTATAACATCGAATAGCCCAAGTGAAGTCTTGATTAGTTGACGTTTTTGGAAGGAATTTATATAATGCACGTCCTAAAGCTAGTAACAAATTTTATTCTGGGTGCGGGTCGAATACTGATCATATTTGGTTTGGTCGCCCATCGGAGAAGTCTGTCGTTTATTTAGACCCGAAACTTCTAGTGACATGGGAGCAACAACACAGATGACACACCTGGAGTCGGCACTTAAAGGTGTATTTTTAACGCAATAACTATATATGCATAGAAAACAGAAAAAATTAATTTAATAGAAATGCCATTTATTCATTTTAATGGATGAAAAAACATTCGTACAATGGAATTCTTCGATTTTAAAACGTTTAAATCGCTTTAATACTCGAGAGTATACAAGATGAATATTCTAGAATGTTCCAATAACGTTATCAGCAGTTATTTTTAGCCTAAAAATACAAACAGAACATTCGGTAATTGTTATTCGTGCAAGAAGGTTTTCATCATGGCAGGAGATAAAGAATTGACAAATTCGCAAAAAGAACTGATTTAAAAAGAACTGAGTTAAAATTTACAAAAAAATCTCAGACAACCTGAATATTCCATTTACTACCATTAGTTCATTCATTGCAAGGAATAAAAAACTCACGACTGTTGAAAACCAAAGAAGAACAGGTGATCCACGGAAGATTTCTTCAAGATCTTTGAGGAAATTAATGCGTCAAATTAAACAAAATCCAATGGTTACCCGTCAAGAGTTGAAGGATGATTTGCTTTCATAAGGAATCTGTGTCACTAAATGGACAATAAGCAATGAAATTCATACGAACAATCTAAAGTCACGCTCTCCTCGGTAAACTCCACTGCTATTGAAAAGACACAGAGATGCCAGGTTGAAATTCGTTCGTGAACATAAGGATAAGGAAAGGTCGAATTAGGAAAGGGTATTATTGATAGACGAAACCAAAATTGTGTCGTTTGAACGTAATTCCAGAAATTATGTATGGAGAAAAGATGGCGATGCCTTCAAAACAAAAGATGGTGGCAGCATCATGGTTTGGGGTTGATTTCTTGCAAAAGGTACTGGTAATATATCTGTAATAGATGGTATGATGAATGCCGTAGCATATCAAAATATTTTGGAAGAAAATTTATTGATTTCAATTGAAAATCTTGGACTTCCTACTGATTGGATCTTCCAACAAGATAATGATCCTAAACACACTGCAAAATCTACTAAGGATATTTGCATTATTTTTAATTGCTAAAAATATTCTAAAAAATTAAGTCATTCCACAGATTTAAACCAAATCGAGAATCTGTGGCGTTATTTGAAAATTCAAATCCAATCGAGAGCTCCAACAAACATCACGGATCTGAAGACCATATGTAAAGAAGAATGGAACAAAATACCAACTAAAATTTGCATATCATTAGCTGAGAACTACAGGAAGAGATTGGTTACTGTAGAAGTGAATAATGGCTATTCTACAAAGTATTAAATAAAAGATTCTTCTAAAGGTTCTTTTTTTGTATTGTACGAATACTTTTTTCACATATTAAAATAGATAAATGGGATTTATTTACCCAGTACCCACTGAGTAAAAGCAGTTCAAAAGCGTGGATCACTCGTCTTGCATTTGGAACACGGACAAAAAAAAAGGGCAATAACGATGATTCGACTCCGTAGAAGTGGTAAGGTGATTCCTAGATATAAAGATCTGAAATGGTGGAATGACAGAATGAAGCTCATCTGAACGTTTGCCATTATTAGCGATGAGCCAGCAATCGTTGCGTCTACGGGAAAACGACTGCAAGGTGTTCACCCAATACAAGGCCCAAGAGTCACTCA